CCAGCACAGGTGAACCGGGCTCCCCCCAAAAGGTAGGAAGCTGAGCTAGAAGCCATGCAGTCTCTGTGGCGGTCGGTCCACACATCACTCTGCCAAAAGTCTTAGTGACTTGTTACCTCAGCCCAGGCGCCTGCAGCAGGACACAGCAGGACATGTCCGCCATCACATCCTACACCTAGAGAGGAAGACACCTGTGCATAGCAGATCGTCCCCACCTGTTCCCGTGGCCCCTAATGAGGAAGGGAGTGTGGCGTGTGCCAGCTTGGACGTCAGAAGAGCTAATGAAATAAGCAAGGTCCTCTCCCTGAGACTTGTACCTGACAGTTGCCCTCCAGGTGACCTGTGGCCTCCACCTCTTCCATTTATGGGGCACAACACTTGCTGTTGTTTGTGAGGGTTCCAAAAATCCTTGGAAAGATTTCCTTTTCTGAGGAGAATCTGAAGGCTTTCCTGGAGCACTTTGATCTCTTTCAGCACACTCTTTCAGAGGCTCTCCTAGGGCCCCAGGGTCCCAGAGTCCGCCAGTGTCGCTGCCTGGGGGCACACCACAGCACCAAGAGCTCCATGGCGATTTACTAAAGTTCCCATGGCTCTGGAAGAACAGCATCTCTGCCCGGATTTGCACTCTAGGTTCCCAGTGGGGAACTGGGGAAAGAGTGGGAGATGTGATGTCCATCCCCGGGGGGGCTCGTGCGGAGGGTCCAGTTATTTGAATTATTACATACCGTAGTTACTTCTGTAAAGGAGTACTTCCTTTGTGCTTGAACAGCCTCCAACATCTGACCGTAGCCACTGTACACATCATCTGTGATGGTGGGAAAAGAGCAGCTATGTTCCCAGTGAAATGTTTATGAAAATGTATATAGGTTACCAGTGGTCGGCAAACTGCGGCTCGCGAGCCACATGCGGCTCTTTGGCCCCTTGAGTGTGGCTCTTCCTAAGCCTTAGGAGTACCCTAATTAAGTTAATAACAATGTACCTACCTATATAGTTTAAGTTTAAAAAATCTGGCTCTCAAAAGAAATTTCAATCGTTGTACTGTTGATATTTGGCTCTGTTGACTAATGAGTTTGCCAACCACTTGTTACCTCAGCCCAGGCGCCTGCAGCAGGACACAACCGTTAGGCTGTTTCAGTACACGTTGGAGTTGTTAGCAATAACCACAGTTTTTAGTTACTTGTTACCACTAGTAAAATTGTGTTGCAAACTGTTTTCATTCTTATGATGAGACTGAGCAACTCTAACAAATTTTAGTTTTCCCTGGAAACTGCAAAAGTAGTCCAAAATTATGTTAGAGGGAATTGATATCGAAGGCAAAAGAAAATTTGCAGCTATACATTTGCTTGTTACAGTTTCTTTTCTGTAAAACTTTATTTTTGATGATCTAAATAAAAGCATTGCTTGAGTTGTTTCAGATTTTACAGCTGTACTTCATTATGTAATGTTATGGTTCCCATTCTGTAAAATGTTATTTTTTTTAATGTTCTGAATAAAGCAGTGACCTCCTCCCCAGAAGCAAAAAGGGTTTTCTATGAGAACACATGTTTTATTGTTTTAACCTTGTTTGGCTTTTGAGATAAACTCAAGCATAGATTAAGTATTCTCATTTGTGAAAAATATTCATTCACTTTTTTTTCATATCAAATGTAATGTCTCATTTCCATGTTAATTTTTCACATTAATTTAAATGTATAAGAAAATACACCTTTTCTATATATTTTGGTTGAGCTTCATACTCATAAATGAGTAAAAGGACACTTTATGTTCTACCATCAAAATTTATTTTATGCATTTTTATCTTTTAAGAAGGTGGAGATTTTATGGAATCTTTCTTCTACAAAGATTTCCTGTTGATTCAGAAAAGAACAATACATTCTGAATTTTTTAAAGTATAAGTTTTAAAAATCTGAAATGTATGAATCTCATACAAATGTATAGTAGGCAAGTAACAGAGATTGGCTAAATTTATTAATGAGGAATGCAGCAGAAGTATAAAGCTGTTTAAAAGAGGATAGAAAAGAGTGCTATCCTATATAATAAAAGGGTAGTATGCAAATTGACCAAATGGTGGAATGACCAGTCGCTATGACACACACTGACCACCAGGGAGAAAACGCTCAACACAGGAGCTGCCCCCAGGCCACAGGCCCTGATTGCCTGATAGCCAACAGGAAACCAGGGGTGGGTGGCAGCAGATGCGGGTGGTGCCAGGTCAAGGCCCCTGCCCTGCCAGTCACCCCACACACAGGGGGTGACTGGCATTGGGAGACAGGGCTGGCGAACAGGCGGAAGGGCCAACCTCTTGGTCTCTCCCCCCCGGCCGGCAGGCTCTGATCAATTGGTGATGTTCGACAGGGCACTAAAACCATAACCTTTTGAGTTATAATTCTACTAGACAAAAATCATTTGTATTGCACCCAAATAAAAAATAATTTGCAACTCACTTTTTGTTTTTCAATTTAACATCTAATTTTTCAGAGTATGGGCCTAACAATAGTAAAAAGTAAGTTTAAAAAAATGCCTTTTTCCAAAGAAGTGAATCATCTTTGGGAGGAACTATGCAATGCTCCAAGATATCACTGCGAAGACATGCAGTCAGAGTTGGCCTATAATCCCTGTTTTTTAAAAAAATTAATACTTTGTCTAATACTCTGTGTCAACACTTGTACACAATATTTTATCTAGTTCTCAAATGAATATCAATAAATATAGGCCTTTATATGAAACTCTGATTATTTCCTTATGAGAATCAACTTGAATAAAAGAGTTTAAATATTTTGAAGGTTATTGATGTACATAGCCAGATTCATTTCTATCAGGGATATTATCAATCTGTACTACTCATGTAGAGTAGTATACTCTGACCATCATACTGACAGACTTGAGCATCATCATTTTTAAAAATCAGGCAATTAGATAGATGCAAAATGAAATCTCTTTTTCAGTTACCTATACAACATCTGGTTACTAGTAAAGTTGATTTTTTTAAAAAACATGGTTTTGTTCTTTTCTTTTAAAATTGTTATTTGCTTACTTTTCTATTTAGATGTTAGTGCCCATGTTGTGAGTCCTTTTAGCTTTTAATGTCTGAGGGACATTAACCCTGTGTTTTAATTCTTACACATCAAAGAGCTTGTCATGAACAGTATTAATAGAATATTTTATGTGAGGAATAACAACATCATAAATGAGACTCATTTGAGCTAACTTGAAACTCAACATAAGATTATACTAATAAAGATGTAATGTTTCCTCTTGTTCCATTAAAATTCCTTTATTGAAAAATGTTTTATATGAAAACTGTCTGTACAAATAATCTTAATAAGGGTGGAGAACCGAAACTACAGGAAACAGGTATTTGTAAATACAAAATTCTTTGCAAATTGATGTCAGGCATTATATTAATAAGTAAACAGTATAGCTTTAGGTGATTGTGTTTAGAACAACTTAGAATAACTGGGTGATCATGCACAATAGTTTAAATCAAAAATTTTTGTGATGTGCTTGTAAAATAAAATCAAGAACTGAAACTGATGTATACCCAAGATGGATAT